TAGCTGAACCTATTTTTTTTCCTTTTTCCTTCTTCCTCTTTCTTTATAACAATAACATTTCATTAGCTTTCTTGTCAAATCACGATATTTGATATGTATGAAGAAAAACTTTAGCACAAACATTATAAAATCCATCATAGTAGTGCAGATATAATTTGAGACATCTAGATCATTTGATTTTTCCATAATGGCTCACTCACCAAACAATAATTGCTGGAATTTTATTTGATATTAATTACACTATTACAGGTTGTATTAAAACTGCTGGCAAATATGTAGGCATTTAAAAGTCGTTCCTGTCCTTCACAAATTCACTTTACCAAGAAAATGACCCTAACATTTATGAAATTAATTATTAGTAGTAATATAAAAGCAAATAATAACATAAATGTGTACACAGAAAAGGTCTAAAGGAATTCAAATGAGAAAGATTCTGTGTTGCAACAGTTGGGGTAATCATGTGGAGATCTAGATAGTTCTTGCTTCATCTTGGTCTTAACCATCCAGCAGACAAGTATAAAAACAAAAATATAAAAAGTAAAGCCATATTAGTATACTGAGCTGTAAAAGGCTCAAGTCAACAACTTCTGACATCGCCAGTCATGTGGATAACCCACTACTATTTTAGACTACTGACTATATTAGATTACTTTGCTGAATTCATGCACCTGCAATATATGAATGGCAATGGAATACACATCTCTGAAAAAAGTAAACAAAAAAGGGGGATATAAATGAAGGACCATTTTGTAGTGAAATATCATAGATACACAGGTACTTTCTCTTAGTTCAATGAGAAAAAGATTTGTACTAATAGTGTTTAGAGAAGATATCATGTCTGCATCTTGTACTATGAATACCTACTACAAAGACAACAATATGCAGTATATTAATTATCGTAACTGTCCTACTAAGCTGTTTTGAAACTATCTCATTGCTACTTCTTTCTCAATAAAAGTATTTTTTAAAAAAAGGAGGAACAATCATGAGTAACGATTACCAGGTAGGGAGAAAAAAACATGGGTAACTCAAATAATAATTATAGTTATGAATTACAGTGCAAAAAATAGGGTAATTCAAATAACAATTATAGTTAAGAATTAATTATACATTCTAGTAAATAAACTTGGAACAATCTGTAGATGCTGTGTAGAACCTAAACAGAGAAGAGTAGAAGTATACACAACTGACAGACATTAAATGCTTCCAAGCAAAGGAGCAGCAGTAGTATCAAAAGGTGCTTGAGAGATAACCATAAGCAATGGTGTTTACAAAAAGCAGTATAGAAATAAACATTTTCTAGTACTGTCCATATTCCAGGCTTTTTATATGTTATTGTGTTTATCTTCACAATAACTGTAGTATAGTTAGTTACTTTTGCCTCTTACAAATGGGGAAATTAGGTACAGGAGTCCCCAAACCTATGTACCTTAAAACGAGTAATTTATGTATGTGATATGATCTAGCTGATACAGCAGGGAATTATTTCATTTGTAAAACTGGTTCAGTCAATAAGGAAAATGGTTTGGTGATTTTGCAAAAAATTAAATATAAAATTATCAAATGACTTCACAATTATTCACCTAAATATGCACCTAAAAAACCTTGCACACAGTTATTCCAATGAATAGATGAGTGTGCCTACTCATGGCAACACTATTTACAGTACCCAAAAGGTAGAAACAGCCCAAATTTCCATTAATGAATAAGAAAATTATCTATCTATCTATCTATCTATCTATCTATCTATCTATCTATCTATATTACTCAGCCATAAAAAAAGGAACAAACTACCAACATGGTACAATGTGGATGTACTTCCAAAAAGACTAAATGAAAGATTCTAGTGACAACGTTAGGGACTGTCAATAGTGTTGAGGACAGCTAGTGGAACAAGGTGACCCCTCCTGTCCTACTGCTGGTACAAGACAGGGACTTACACAGTGGACATGGCTTGGCTGTACAAGTAACATTGGGTGGTGGTGGTGGTGAGGGAAACTAGCACTCCTCTACCCTGTGACCAATGGTAAAGCAACCTGAGGCCTGAAGTCAGCACTGACTTGCTTCCAGAAACAAAACCAGCCTGACATAGTCAGAACAAGGAATGGGAAATCAGCACTCCCTTGCCCTTGGGCTGGGAAGCCAGCACTCCCTCCAACTTGCCACTATCAACACAAATAGCCTTGGGCCATAATGGTAAGACAGGAGAAGAGACAGTGATGTGGAACACAGGAGACTATGCAAGGTCTGGAAGGGGTTAACTATATATAGAACTGGAAGCAAAGTCCAGAGACCAGGCTAGGCTCGCGCTCTCTCTCTCTCTCTCTCTCTCTCTCTCTCTCTCTCTCTCTCTCTCTCTCTCTCTCTCTCTCTCTCTGTGAGGGTACTACAGTAACTGGGAGAGCAATGCAGAGACAAACAGGGTCAGGAGATATGGGTAGGCCATACAGAAGGCTTTTGGCTAACAACTGTTCACAATTCCCACATCTGGAGGCCAAAATCAGCCTTACATCCAGCACTAACTTTACTTCAGGCTTTGTGGGGTTATTCCACAGTGTAAGGCTCTAACTTTGACGCTATCATGGAACTGGGACACCAGAAGAATTACAGCACATTTTTTCTTTATATGCTCCATTTTCTTGTTTCTGTCTGCTTGACGGTTGTCTGGATTTATACCAAACATTTGTGTCGTACCATTTTTTTTTTTTTTTTGGATGATTGTTTAGATTTATACCTTTATTTTTGTTTTATTCTATTTATCTTCATTCACTTCATGCTCAACTATGTCTCCCGATTTCATGATATTTTTTAGGTGGGTGAACATTTTCTCTCATTTTTTAGGTTTGCTTTCTCCTTCATTCTTTCTCTTCTGCCTTCTTTTGTTTCCCATGATCATCCTTTCTCTTCTAGCTTTGCTGGGAAATTTACTGCGGTGAATTCACAAACCAGGAAAACAGAACAAGCTCAAGTAAACAATCTAATATCAAATCTTAAACTTCTAGAAAAAGATATAGCCAAGCATAAAGCTCATACAATGGAGGAAATTATAAAGAGAAGAACAGAAATTAATGCAACTGAGACAAACAGTTAATGAATCAGACAACTGTTCTCTGAAAGAGTAAATAAAACCAATAAGCCCTTAGCCAATCTCATTTTAAAAAAAAATACTCAAATCCTTGTGACTAGGAATGAAAAGGGTGAAATCGCAACAGATCCTTCAGAAATCCTCAAGACCATCAATACCTTCTTTGATAACTTCTAAACAAAAATAAGTTTGAATGCAATTTCCAAGTTTACTCTTTTAACATTACTACAATCTAGAATATTAAATTTATTTTATTTTTTTGGGGGGGTGGAACTGGGGATTGAACTCAGATCCTTACACTTGCCAGAGAAGCACTTATTCTACTGAGCCATCTCCCTGGCCCCTAGAATATTAAATTTAAAAAGGAGATGACTTAAATAAGGAATGACAATTAGGATGGAAATAAGAAAACTATATTCTGAAGAAGCTATGCATTCTGTAATCTATTTTATAAGTTGCTTCAAAGTAATATTAAGAAATGAAAACTATAAAACAAAATTATATTAATGGAAAAAATATCTAATGGGTTAGGCAACATAAATGTTTTCCTTTAGAGTTAGTTTGTTAATATTCAAATAATGAACTGAAAGTCTTTTCAATGCAAAATTCTATTAAAGAATGAATGTATATTATGTAAATGAGAATCATATTAGCTTTATTTTATAGCACATTCATTTGAGTCAAACATGAAAAACTCAATACCAAGGAAAATTTTAATATATCATGTTTTCTGTGCAATTAAAGATGAAATGAATAAGCCCCACACACAGGATATAAGTAGTATTTGAAGTTATATTGAAGATTACAAGGATTCAAAGTCATAATTTAAAAATTATGTATCACCTATGTACATGGTAAATTCCTTGTATTAGTGATTTAGAAAAACAGTGCATCATTCATGCTGGCATGCCAATCTTTACATTTTGAATAGTTTGGGGATATGAAGAAGTAATGGAAGAGATCTTTAAACCAATAGGCACATGTGATTTTCTCAACAGACACTATCAGTTGATGGTGACATTACTTTTGAGGTTAAAACAGAATACTCAATTTTCTCCAGTTCAAAATTATCACTTTATAAATCATCAAATACTTTCAAGAAATATGTCCTACTCCTGATAACTTATTATTTCAATAAGTGACATAATTTTTAAAGAGTATATTAAGATTCACAGTATCAGTATTTAAGAAATTAAACTTTGATCTTAGACATTTTTAACAGGTAAATAAATACCTACATGAAACTGAACATGATATTAAAATCAAGGATATACCATAATAATTGTATCTTTGAGAAATAAAACCTAGAGCATTTTAAGATTAGGTGATCTGTAGAACATATAACCTGAAGTTCAGTATTACTGACAGTGACCTCACTTTCTCTAAAACTTTATCCTAAGTATCATACCTTCTATAAATCATAACAGTGGATCTCAGTCTTAAATATACCATGTGAAAGTATAAAGAAAACATATGAAGAAAATCCTATAGGTTGAGTCAAAGGATATATGGTTCCAAAAGGACAGCCGAAAAGAGACAAATTCAGGAGCTGGTGAGATGGCTCAGTGGTCTAAAGCACCTACTTAGAACAAGCTTACTTAGCAAAGCACAGGGACCGTGGTTCAATCCCCCAGCACCACATGCCAGCCAGCCCCGCCCCCTGGTGGGCTGAGCTGGTCACACACACACACACACTAAAATTAAAAAAAAGAGACAAATTCAGTAAGTTTGACTTCATCAAACAAAATTTTTAAAAATATAAACTTTATCAGTAATATATAGTATCATTCACATCTTACAAATCTGTAAAGACTAATAAAAATAGGATTTTTTTTCTTTGATTCACTTATAACTATGCTACAACAAGCTTAGTTTTCACTTTTTCATTTGACAAAAGTCAATTATCAACACTTACCAGCAGCTTCAAGAACTAGTTGTAGTCTGGCTTTGGCCTGTTCAGCTGGTGGCTAAAAATCAATCATAAAACATTTATAGGTCAGTTCTAATAAGTGCAGCTTTAAATTAATGTATTGTTACACATACAAAATTTAGAGAATTTTATCACAATCAATATTAATAACCACTTAAACCTTAACAAAATTCCATCACAGTAGTACTCCCAATCTACTCGTACCATTGTCAAATCATATTTTTCAGTAAGTATGATTTTAAAAATATGATTAAAGAATCAACAAAGTTATTTTCTTTAATGGAAGTTTGTTTTCTATACAATATTATTCCAACCAGTAATAATATAAGTAACTGCTGGTTTAACAATAAAGCTAACCCTATAATAACAACACATTCTCAAGCAATCATTTCTTTGTATATGGAAAAATGTGAGTGATTTACTAGAATTTATAATAGCAACTTTAGGTCTCTGACCTCATGTAAATCAGACCCTAAAACCAAATAGTTTTGCTTATTTGTGTGTGTGTGTGTGTGTGTGTCTTGCTCAGCCCGCCCTGTGGCAGGGTTGACATGGCGTATGGTGCCAGGGATCGAACCGCAATCCCTGCGCTTGCCTACACTTGCCTAAGCAGGCACTTTACACCGCTGAGCTGTCTCACACACCTCAAGTTTCTGCTTTTCTAAGATAATTCTAAGAAGATAGGATACAATGTAAATTATACAATGTAAATTAAAATTGTTCTCTCAATGCATCTTAATTCAGTACAGTTGAAAAGGTTGAAACTGAAGTATTTTCTACCAAAAACATCTTTCTGAGATTTTCAAATGGCTTTTATTAATGGTATCCAAACTATAATATGGATTGTATCAAGATAATGACTTTTCTGAAAGGTAGTTTCAGAAGCTAAGATAGTACTTAGCCCTGTATTTATGAAGATGCCAGCAAGAAACTAAATAACCTAAATAAACTAAACAACATAAAAATAATAACTTCAGAATTAACATGCAATATATTCGAATATTTAGCTATTTGTAAAAAATGCTTGATTTAAATAATGGAATATAGACAGAATACACTGTAGTCAGAAATTGAAGAATTTGAATGGTGCTTCCAAGAAAACTAAGAAATAACACGAGAGTGGAATGAAACAAGTGAAAAGACAGGGAGAGTCCTTTGTATCTCATAACAGAGGCTAATGAATTATAGGCCTGACCTAGCAGGTTGGTTTGGTAATTTATTGTAAGTTACCCATGATCTTCGTTTGTATATTGTCTATGGCAGCTTTTCAGCACAACTCAGTAACAAAGTATTTGTAGCAGGAACCTTATGATCAACGAAGTTTAAACTAATTATCTGAACCTTTAAAACAAAGTTTGTCAATCACTGACACAGAAGGTGAAAACTTTAAACAGAGGGGTGATATGATCTGATCTGCACTTTGATACATCGTTCTAGCAATGTATCTCAGGCTGAAGCAAAAGGAATGAGACTCTAGGCAAAGAGATCAGCTAAGTGGCAATGAAACAGGTCCAAATGAGATGAGGCAGGCCAAGCTAAGTAGGAGCAGAGAGGCTGGACATGAGGAACCACACTTTAGAAATACTTCATTAACAAAATGAAAAGATTGGATAGGAAAGATGGAAGAAGGAAACAAACAAAAAAAAAGAGTACTTGTGTTTTTAGAGGGAGAATGTATGTTAAGCATGCTTTGTAAAGTACTGAAAATATATGAGAAGTAAAAATATCACAGCCAAATACAAACAGAAGACTGTACAACCACTGGATATAAACTAACCATCATAAAATGCTTATGGGTGACAAGTAGTTACAACATGATTATACACAGGAAATGACTTTTGACATCAGTTTTAGGAAACACAGAAAGTATGAGAAATTGGTACCACTGTATCCTCCTTAAAAGAAGCAGCTGATACTCAGCTCTAAGAGACTGTTGCTATGGAATCTTATAAAATTTGTTAATTTTCAGAAGAATGTAAGACATCATGATGATAAATATTGTGCAGAACAAAGTACTTCTTGGACCTGGGTTCAATTCTGTGCCAAACAGTTTGTGACATGTGCTATCTACCCAACAAACAGTACAAACTGAAACTTTATGCCAAATTACATAGGGAGTGACAGAACAGAAGTGATATTTTGACTAGCAGCTCCAAGCAAGATAAAAATACATACTATACATATCGGAGTGTCCTTCAAAGCAGGACACTGTGAAATAAAACTCTTAGATATTTTTCTAAGATAGTTGATGGGAGGGGTTTTTGTATTTCACAAGAATTTTTTAAATTATCTATCTATCTATCTATCTATCTATCTATCTATCTATCTATCTATCTATCCACCCACCTACCCTCCCACCCATCTATCCATCCATCCATCCATCCATCCATCCATCCATCCATCCATCCATCCATTCATCCATCTGCTACAGGGTCTCACTACACAACTTATATATGTAGTGATCCTCCTGTCTCAGCCTTCCCAGGCATGTGCTACCATGCCTGTTTTTGGTAGCCAGCATGGCACATCCGGGGTTCTGGGGCTGGCATGGCATGAGGCACCATGGATGAAACCTGGGTCCTTGCTCTTGCCAGGCAGGCACTTAGAGTGCCCAACCCAAGGAGAAATTTCTTTCCCCAGCCCAAGGAAAAATTTTTTTAACAATTAAAAAATAATATAAACAAAAGTATCCAAATTTATTGGGTACCCAATGTCCTATAAAATATTAACAATGTTCTACCCCATGGAAGAGTTCATGGTAGTCACATCCATGCCCTTATTTATAACTACTATTTTAGAAAATGCAGTGACTTTTTTTTTTTTTTTTTTTTTTTTTAGGGAAGGGTTCAATTCACCTGAACAGGGTGTTCAGGGT